AGTGTCCTGAATAGAGCTATGTATAGCATGCTGCCTAGAATAGACAGACAGACAGTACCTGTCAGCCCGGTTTTGAATTGAGCGCGCTTGACAACTCACATGACTCCGTCGTTTTAAATAGCCCGCGCTCGACAGAGCCGCGCAACCTGTTTTGATGAATGCAGGGTGTGTGTGTGTTGAAAGTACATCGTATCACAATAGAGACGGGTTGTGTCAACACTGTTCGGAGACGGAATCTTCGAGTCGTGTAAAATGTAGTTGAAAAACATTTCATACAGAACGCGTCCTGTACAAGTATAACACCATCAAAGTAATGGAAAGTTGGTGTAGATTTTTATGTTATTTCATACTAGTTTTTTTTGTTTTGTTTTGTTTTCCATCCAAATATAGCATGATGAGAAATAAATGATTTTGAGCCATGTACACTAATGGATACAGTTTTAGTTTTACTAGACAGCGAGATGTTTGAAAAAAGAGGCTTGAAATACACATGGATAGAAGCATATCAATACCATATAGCACACGTATAATACCATGAAAGTCACGTCATTTGGAGAGAGACGAAAGAAAATAGAAATAGGAATCTGCTTATTGAAACAGTTCTGTCGTGCCCTGCTCAGACAGAGAACAGATTTTAGAAATTTAGGATGTGACACCCTCCTACCTCATCATTTCAAAATGCGTAAACTGTGTTAGCTCGTATAAAATATAGATAGTTATAGCTCAGTCCAATAAAAAAAGAACTCGAAAAAATATCAGTGACATTTTTTTGAAAATAACTAAATCCAGATTCAGTTGTAGATAGCATCACATTATAGGCAACGTGATCAGACTGAAAAAACATAGTTTCACAAAGCATACTCAGTACTCAAGGAGGACGACATGCATGACTGAACAGCCAATGCAACAGGCAGGTGTGTGTACCATTCGGTGTGTGAACTGAGGGCTGTGAAGGAAAAGGTTCAATGTCCTTTCCCGTGTGGGCATACATGGCTGGTCCCTATCCCAACCCGTCAGTCATGTCTACAGCGAGATACACGGGTGCGTTGAATGATCAGTTACTATATGTCAATCATTCGTCAGAATAATCCTATCAGACAAGTTTCAACACATCTACGTCACGTGACCACACCCGCGATATATGAAACAGATTCGGTCGAATAGTGAATCCTTTACAACATAGAAGTCTTCAGTACCATGCTGAATGCTATTTACTTTGCTCAGTGTTATTGCTTACTACCTAGAAGATCACAACACTATCCTAGAGTCATGGCAACGAGCAGTACAAGCCTATCTCAGGAACCCACAAAACAAGCAGTGGGTTCATCAGAAGAACAGAGAGACGATCGAGAGAACATGTTTCATATCGGCAGTAGTCGCTACATCAAGACCACCCGTTGGAGTGGAGACTGGAAAATAGACCTTCGTCAATACGAATGGAGTGCTGAAGGTATACTCTATCCCACCAAAACAGGTATTTGTTTATCTCTCGATCAATGGACGCAGTTGAAGGTTATTGAAAACACTGTCTCAGACTCGTTATCTCAAATCGTAAACAAGGAAGATTGTTCTGTCTGTTTAGCGTTAAGCCGTAACGTTTTCCTCACCATGAATTCACCCCAAAAAATCGTGGATATACGGCAGTGGTGGCTACCCGATGGTGAACGAGAATTAAAACCCACGCGTAAAGGCATAGCCCTTAAGCCGGAAGAATGGCGCCAGCTCCTCAAAGTCAGTGCTCTACTTGGATGACTGTATAGCATACAATCCATGAAGTATGTGTAAGTTATAGTGAACTCAAATAAGCTACAGAAAGTTATATTTTAGACATAGACTGTTTATGTTATTGTATCGATTATCCACAATACCACGCTTTGAGACAACAGTGGATTGAACTCGACAATGTTATAATATAAGCGATGAACCATCAACGATCACTTCATTAGAATGGAGGAGCGCGCAGAGGCACAACCTCTCACTAGGATTAGCTCTGGAGAGCCTTGGAGACTATTCGGTAGGAAGACAGCCAAGCCAGAAACTGTATTTTTCTCTCAAATTTTCATTATTTATATCGTAGTGATTACCTGCATCGTGAATTTATCTTTAGACAAAGGAAACTCGAATTTATGGACTGCGCTTTTAAGTTCCTCTCTCGGATATCTCCTTCCCAATCCGAGAATTAAGTCTCAACCGTCACGAGTTAGTTGAACAACACCTACAACAGACGTGTGTCGACAGCAGATATCGAATAAACATTTAGGTGTACCCTATCCTAGAGCCATGCAAATGAGCAGCAGAAATCCATCTTTTGGATGACTGAAGAGCATTCAATGTGTGAGTATGTTATAGCTGTGCAGCAGATGTTCTAAATATAACAGATATAAAAAGAAGGTACACCGCGCATAGCGAATCATTCAGGGATGAGACTTCCTTACGAGTCGCACCCATCCCTGCATGCTAGCCGAGAAAGAGAACTAGCATCCTATATAGAATGTCGAGTGAAAGAATGATTTTCTTCACCTGGAAGTACGGGCAACGCGAACCCGATCGTATCCACGAAACAGTCGTTAGACAGTCAACTCAATGGTTTCAACATCGGGAACACTGTATACAAGATGCCGAGACGAAAGTCCCCAACGAGGATAAGAAGATAAAACGAGTCATTACTAAGAAAATGAAGGCTATCATCGTAGACGAAGTAGAATCTGTTGAAGTGACTGACTACATGTTGTCGTTACTGAAGCTATGTTATACCTTGGAACTCTGCAAAATTATCAAACGTCTCAGCGTTCAACTGTGTTTTGGGTGTATGTTTGAACAAACTGACAGTCAGTACCATACGTGTCAGGACTTGTCCAACCAACACAAAATACACCAATACATGGACACAGCCTTAGACGAAGTGAATGACGATCGTGTGATCGATCAATGGATACGACTCATTCACGAAGATCCGAGCCTAAACAACGTGTCTTCCCATGTCATCTATCAGTATCCGTGTAAAGATTATCTGGACACTCACTTTAACTCACAACAACTGACTGGTTAAAAGACATACAAGACCGTGTATGGAAAATGTTGTATTTAGAAAGAGCATTCCGGTGAACTAACTGTATGTTGCTGTGTATCATTCAAAATTACATGTTGTTATTTCAATACCTGTACAATCATGTTTGTCTTATATGTAATAAAACGATAGTATTGTACATTTCATGTGTCTGTTATCATCGACGTGTATATAAAAGAGAGTAGGTCTACACGAGGTTTACAGTTGAAATTACCTCACGAGATAGAAACATGTCATCGTCTCACCGGAAAGCCTTACAGGGCTATTACTTTAACCCTAAGTCCCCAGGTGCGTATTAGGGTGCCTCCAAATTTCAACAAAGTTTGAAAAGACTAGGGAAAAAGGCTACCGCATCCAAGGTAAAATCTGAGTTGAGTAAGCACGATGCTTACACGCTTCATAAGCCGGTGAAACACACATTTCAACGCCTCAGAGTACTCGTTAACAGAATAGGTCAACAGTGGGATGTCGATCTGATGGACATGAGTCGCTATGCTAAAGCCAACGACGGTATACGTTATGTGTTGATAGCCATTGACATATTGTCACGCTATCTGTGGGTAGCCCCTTTAAGAAACAAGAAGCCCGAGTCCATCGTGCAGGCATTCAAAGACATTCTGTCACACGGTCGCAAGCCGCAAACCATCAGAGTGGATAAAGGTACAGAATTCAAAGGCGTTTTCAAGGATTTTATAGAGCGTCAGTCCATCAAACTGTTCGTCACTCAGAACGAAGACATTAAAGCGAATTACGCCGAGAGGGTCATTCGAACGTTGAGATCGCTCATAGCGAGGTATTTAACACACAAGAACACACAGCGCTATATCGGTGTGCTAGCCGATTTAGTATATAATTACAATCACACCGCATTACACAGAAGTTTAGGGCGAGTGGTCCCCTGCAGAAGTGAACCAACAAAACGAAGTCAAAGCATGGGGACATTTATACATGAATCCATCCACATTCATCGCACACAAGTCCCGTTCATTTAAGTATAAAATAGGGGATATCGTGAGAATCAGTTATTTGAGAAAGCCGTTTGCCAAGGAACACAACTTGCGATGGACGGAAGAATTATTTAAAGTAGCAACGCGTCATCGCCGACAATCCATCCCATTATACACACTGAAAGATTTTCACGACAAGCTCTTAAAGGGGCGCTTTTAAGAAGAAGAATTACAGCGTGTCGATAAAAATCTAGATGCCGCATGGGATATTGAAAAAGTGTTAAAGAAAAAGAAAGACAAAGGGAAAGTGTACTATTTGGTCAGGTGGGCAGGTTGGCCATCGAGTTTCGATTCCTGGGTAGAAGCAAGCGAAGTGAAGAATAAGTAAAATGGATAAATACATCGTGTTTAACAGTGCAGACTCACAGGAGTATTTCCCGGACAACACGCCTTACCGTTTCCGCGTGAAACTGTCTCAACATTTGAAACTAGAAGGCATGTGGATGGTGGCTCTGTTAGAAATGAAACTAGGCAAACTGGAGTTGAAAGATACCAATAATACCTCCATTGACGTGTTGTGTAATCTATGCGATAGTTCACACGTGGGCGAACATTATCTGCCTTTGTTGAGACGGATCGATCTGAGAGACGGACCCAACTATTATTTTCATTATCCTTGGTACTTACCCATCATCGTGAGAGACACCTCGAAATCGACGGTATATAAAGTGTGCAGAAGGAACCTCGATTCATTTCTGAGAGAGACCGGAACGTATCACTCGTGGTTGCGACGGTATCCCTTTCTGAGTTAAGCGATGGAACGGAAACTGTACATTCCCGACACCAAGAAGTTTGTGGACTTTTAGTAGATCGCAGAAGTAAGCACGGGGAAAACAGCTGATCAAAGGTCGACCTAGGTCAGATCATTCCCATCGCACCTCGAAGTCAAAGTACCACCTAGTCGCGACTCGAACTTGAACATAACAATGACATCGCCTAATCAGAACGTGGTCAAGAGAGCCGAGGCAGCTCAGAAGCGAACCAAGGCTATAAAACGCAAAGCAGGGGACAAGATTGTCACTTCGAAGAAAGTACGTCGTGAAGGTAACAGCTCCAAACGATCCTTCATCGAGTTTAAAGATACTCCCGCTATCGACCCCAGAGACATCTTCAACCAGTAACCATGTCTGTACTGACGGAGAAAGAGTTTACCGAAGCCCTGCCAAATAGCTTAGATTTATTTGAACTGCCTCCATATCAAACCAGCATCCTGCAACACTATTACGAGAACGTAAGACCCCTGTCTGTCATCACCGATTCCAGTCCGGTGGAATTTCACATTCCGAACGGCGGGAAAGACTACATCGACTTGAGCAAGACTCGACTTCACGTCAAACTGAAGGTTACTCATACCGACAAAACACCATTAGCCGATAAAGAAAAAGTAGGGCCCGTCAACCTCACTCTGCAAAGCTTGTGGAGTCAGGTGAGCGTGTTCCTACAGGGTCAACAGGTCAGCTCCAGCAATGGCGGTTACCCTCACAAAGCCCTCATGGAAACCGTTCTCGACTATGGAACAGATGCTCAGACCAGCCAACTGACTACTCAGCTGTATTACAAAGATTCGGGTGTCACCGTAGACGAGTTCAACTCCGGGGACCCCTACGCCTCTGGGAATGACGGGCTCATCAACCGCTGGAGGTTTTATCGCCGGAAGCAAGTCGCTCACCCTAACAGGACCTATCATGGAAGACGTGTTCGGTTTCCAACGTCAACTGGTGAATGGTGTGGACGTGTGACTCAAACTGTTTCGTTCCAGCACATCCTTTGTCTTGACGTCAGAAGAGTCTGATAAGGATTACACCGTCGAACTGCAAGATGTGTACCTGAAAGTATGCAAACTCAGAATCAACGACGCTCTCATCGTGGCCCACAACAAACAGTTCGAGAAAGGTAATGCCATGTACCCCTACGAAAGATCCGTGGTCAAGATGGCCTCGGTCGCCTCGTCCAGTCTGAGTTTTAACTGGGACCCCATGTTTCAAGACGAAGTTCCCAGTCGACTGATTGTCGCCTTGGTGAGGTCCAATGGGGTGAACGGATCGTACACGGCTAATCCCTTCTGTTTCCAAGGAGACATCATTAAAAGCATGGGACTGTACTTGAACGGTACCAGTGTACCAGGACGCCCGTTTGAGTCGGATGACATCGAGGCTTATGCTAGCCTGTACGATTGGAATAACGAATGCGCAAAGACAAAGGTTTGAACTTGGACCGCACGGAATTTCCCATAGGTCATGCCTTGTACGTGTTCAACCTGCAAGACATCGGAGCCGACAGATCGGAATATCTGAACCTGCTCAAATTGGGTAATCTGAGACTAGAAGTCAAGTTTGCTCAGGCCGCCCATACCTTCAACGTCATTGCTCTGGCCAAGTTTCCGGCACTTATCGAAATCGACCAAAGCTGGAACGTGTTTCTAAAGTAGTCCATGTACAAACAACAGTTACAGTGTGCCATCCGTAGCGATCCCAGCCTCCGTGAGTGTCATGGTGGGTGTGTATACGAGAGATACCATAGCTAGCATCGCTTCACCTACCAGTGGAAGACCGGGGATGTGTGGTTAACACGACCAAGCTTATGGCGAGGGACAACACTGGGTCGCTTTCTACTTTGATGGGAGTGGAGTCGGCGAAGTTTTTGACAGTTACGGACAGAAACCGAAGCTACTATCATCGTGAATTTGAATACTTGTCAAGAGACATTCTCCCAGTTTTTCGATATAACGCGACTGTTTTACAACACTCTAATTCGAGTGCTTGTGGATTCTATTGTTTATATTACTCGCTACAGAAATGTAGAAATGGATGGGTGAATGTTTATTTAAGACAATGAATGTCACTCATCTCGTGACTACTTTAAATACTGTTTCAACATGTTTCATAACTCGACGATCGTGACATGTAGAGTGGTAGACGAGCAAATAAAACATGTCATTGTGGCTTTATGATATGGTAAGTGAAGACATTACCCGTTTCTCGAGACATTGTTCGAGACTCATGGCGATATCACTGGAGACATGAATGAGCTTCTTTCACTGAATGAAACGAAGAAACTGGCGTGATATTCGTGCCATGAATAACGAACAAATCAAAGGGTACTAAAGCCATTGTAAAGCGACTGCTCAATGCTGTATACCAATCACGCGTGGAGAGCAACGCCGTTTCTTGCAGCCTAATCCCCACAACAATTATTTGAGGATGTTGCGACGTATAGCTCGAGCGAGACAACGGGTAGAAGCATTATGAAAGCGAACCCTGTTAAACCATACTCCCTTGATTCGGTTTATATTCAAGTATGAACATGTCAGACAGGTCAGAGACGAAGCCCAAAGAGCTCTCCAAAGGTTGGCTAGGCGTCGTCAGCAACAACAGCCACTCATACCGAGAGCTGCATAAATAACCCACACCAGTGATAGAATGTATCAGTTTAGACAGGCACTCCGTGAGCTAACACTATGGCCGAGAAATGTTTGCTCCCTATCGTTACACCTACCACTTTGTCCATGATTGGGGGCACGTGTAGCGGGAAAACCTATTGGACGAAACGGTTGTTACAGAATACCAGTACAGTGTTTGATAAGCCACCAAACCTTATTGTATACTGTTACGGGGTGTGGCAGGATCTGTACGCCGACATGCAGCAATCTATTGATAACATTCAGTTTCACGAATCTTTGCCTAACGAAAACGATTTACGTTTGTGGTCCGATCAGTCTCACAAAAACATGATTCTCGTGTTAGACGATCTCATGATGGATATATGTACCAGTAAACTCATGTTAAACGTGTACACCACCTTGATCTGGGCATTACTGTAATCAATCTGCTACAGTCCGTCTACCCTAAAGGTCCCTGTTCACGGACTGTCAGTGTGAATACGCATATGTTCGTCTTGATGAGCAATCCCCGTTCCGCGCACGAATACAAGATTTTAGCCTCGCAAATATTTCCAGGTCAAAGCAAGTATTTTTCGGAATCCTATAAGGATGCCGTGGAAGGGAGGAAATACGGTTACTTAGTCGTTGACGCTTCACCGTACAATGACCCGGAATACGGACGCTTACGCACCGGTATCTTACCCAATGAACTTTGCACCGTCTATTTTCCTAAATAAAAAGCGATCCGCATGGGATAGCTCGGTCAGTGTTACAGCAACCGTGCTATGAGCAAGGTCTACTTTTGGGAGATCGTGTGTAACCCACCACCCTCTATCTTATCGATAAGAGCTACTCGGACTGAAGAGATCGTTTTAAAAAAGAGCTCTACATGGTTTTCATCGAAAGAATCGTGCATAAACTCACTTCGACAAGCTTGGCGAACGGGGTTGGATCTACCTAATTTATACGGTGGACCTACGTGCTACGTTTACAAAAAGGTTCGCTACACACCATGAGTCGGTGTATTGAAGACAATGTGGATTTTCTCCACATACTGAGACAATCTAAGCCTGTACAGCGTAAAACGTTACTATCTCATCTGACCAAACCCCAGTTTAAGGCGATCATCACGTTGTTACATAACATCATCATCGGTTACATTTCCGTGACAGATCACGAGAAAAAGACCTTGTATCGGTACAGGAAGATTATTCGGCTACTGAACAGCAAACAAGGAGGATATCGAGCTAAAAGGGAGTTGTTGGTTTCTTTTCACTTTATATTACCACCTTGTGTACGAGCATTGGATCGATATTTTTATCAGTCGGACCATGACGAAACCCATGATTCTGTTATCTCGCGAGACCTACCAACGTCTGATTCAAGCTGCTCCGAAGATGGAAAGCGGCTCCCATCCGATCCTGAAACCCTCACCAGCCCCTATCCCCCAGGAGGAGCAGACTCCAGTAGTCAACACTACAGCTAAGGAACCAGACGTGAAGCGTGACGCGTCCATACACAATATCATAGCCTCAGCACACGACCAGCTAACAGGAGGAGGAAATGCAACAGCAAGCCACGATGTCCTAACACCACTGTTACAACACGTCAAGTCGGACGAGCAAAAGGGAAAATTAGTGTCCCTATGGCAGTATCTCAACCAGCAGAAAGAACTCGGTCGCATTAACTGGAATGCTAAACTCTAATGGTTGGATGAACATGGAGACCCTATAAAACATTCTAATGTGATTGACTGCATTCGACAGTTTGTGCTAAAGAGTGGCGATAGAAAACATGTTGGATATCAAGCCTTTACCCGTCAACTAACACAACTACCCAACTCGCAAGCGTTTTACTCTCAGGTGGGAAAAGGCAAGAGAAAACGAACCCAGCCCATGTACGTGCGTGGCAAAGTGAAGCACGGTGTTCCCGGTGCGAAGAAGTTCAAACCATTGGAAACTGCTTATTAAAATAGTATTGAATCTCTCATGTGATTATACAAGTTGTTAGTTTCAAACGTGAATGGATATAAAGTTTGTCTCATGTTGCCACTGGAATGTATTATAATGCCTATATTGTCTGAATATGTATCATCATGACAAGCTGTTAAAGTAATAAACACTGAATAGATAGCATGGTAGTCTCATGTTGTTTGTGCGAATGCTCTGCTGTATGCAGAGACGCAGTACGCTGAGATCGCTCTTAAAGGGTCTGTCCCCATGGCGCCTACAATAAGATCATCCTGCTGTTGTACACCCCAACTCACTAACAATAAACATAATAGCACAAAGCATCGCTCACGGTGCAGAAGGTGTCCTCCCATTTGTGAGAACTCCCAGTTGTGAGACACATTAATTAATGGTTCAGTGCACACAGGTGGTGCTTCCCCATCCCTACGATGAAAATGGGAACATCCCTGTTGCTGAAGAGTACCCGCAGGAGGCATAGTTTATCGTGAACTGGCGATATATTCTACTTGTTGAAGGCCTGCCATAATGGTGATCCGAAAGAGCAGTCATTTTTTAAAGCCATTTATCTGAGTAGGTTAATTACTTTATCTTTTAGAGTTTTATTAAGTTACCTCCACAAGATTCAGTTAATAGCTAATCCATAATTAGCTGAGGTTAATCCATTCTATCCGATAGGGGAGTAAGGTGTGTTTTCTTTGCTAATTACCTAGTCCACTGTCTCACAACTGGGAGTAGACGGTACAGAATGGTTCCCATGAAACTTAGTCATAGCCTCGATTCACCTACACCAAAGGGAACTAGTCTTATTTTCTCACAGTGTATTCTTTACCGGAATCATAGACGGTACATTCCGTTCCAGTGGATATGGCTTGAATGTAAATTGTATTATTATTATTATTATTTTTTTTTCATACACGACTTCTAGAAAGTAGACATACATATCATAAGACAAGACAACGAACACTTTCCAGAATAACATAGATTTATTCACGTATATACATTTGACAAACATTAATTTAATTTATAATAACATTACAGGAAAATGGTTTGAGAAACCAAAATATCACAGCTGGTAAAGAGAATACTTTTTGATAGAAATACTTGATATGTTTAACACAATATGCTTCTAATAATAAATACATATATATAAATAACTACAATATGAACACTACTGGAGTTGAGGGAACGCAAGAGGGATGACCTTTTCTTAATTTTCAGCTAAATTTTCTAAAAGTTGGGCTGAAAATGTGTCAGTGTCATCCAACCTACTATCGCGGGTAGACCAGGGACAAAGCTCGAGGTCGAGAGGTGCCGTGTGAATGCCATCGTTCAACACTCGACGTTTACAGTAGAGATAACTCAACCCCTGACGTTTTTGTTGATAGGAACACATGAGTCGGAAACCTCTGTTCAACCCCTCGCCGGGTACTCGCGTACGTAAAACATCTCTAAACGCTCTTAGTGGTGTTTTCAATGTGCGTTTTGAGATGCCTTTACAGGAGAATTTTACCCGGCGTTTGAAATGACCGACGATAGGGGTGGTTGAGCGGAGGCATCGGGCCTTGTTATTGACGGGCTTGATGCGACCGAGCCGTTGGCGTTGTGCCGTTCGTACGCTCGAGCTCGGCGCTGGCTTTGGAGTTTGCTGAAGACTGGACTGTGACACCAAGTACGTTTTACTACACAGTCCGATCATCTCGTCTCCTTCGTACTCGAGTTTGAATAAACCCGGAGTACGTTTGTCGTGAAGGGCGTGGACAGAACAGCAACTGCGTTGAAACCAACGCGTGAGGTAGCTATCGTGCGGGTTATTATCACCACAGAGCCCCTTTAACTGGTGCTGGTACGCCAACTGTTT